AGTTTCAGTTTAGAAAAGCCTTTTATATTTTTCAAAAGTTATTGAGCTATTTTGATAAGTCTTTTATATTTTTAAAAGTCCTTGAATCTCTATTTAGAGGAGTTTTTTCAAAAAAATTTGTTTGGGTAGATTAGGATCTGGACGTAATGGCTATCTATATCTTTGCACAAGTTTTTTTTTTTTACAGAAAATATGCAAAGAAGGGCAACTATAGATATCATATTTGTCCGGGTTTTATTCTTGTCCATTAGAAGTTTAATTGGATTTAACTTTATATTCTTTTTAATTTTATTTTATTGATTTTCATTAAAAAAAAGAATTTGAAATCTACAAAATCTTTAGCTAGGATTGAAATTGCTAAAGTTTTTCTAGAATCAAATTCCTTTTGATATAGGATAGTTGTTTCATAGGGCATTTCAAGTTTAATTGGGTTTTAATTTTGTATATTTTATAGATTAAGGGAAAATTAAGAAGTTATGTTTGATTGGAAATTTGAAATTAAAACAGAGTGAAAGAAGTTTTGGAAATTCTCTTTGAAATTAAAATCCTATATGACTTTGAATAGAAGGCTTATTTAAAGACCCACAATTAACACAAAGGGATAATAAATCAATATAAAGAAAAATTATAATAACTTCTTGGTAAATTCCTTAGTGAGATTTTGGATTGGGTGTGATTTAGAAAGTGTTGATCTAGGGAAATGAAAATGGAATCAAATTTTGGGTCTATGGATTTCTTTTTTGGGTTTCTGGGAATTTTTTTGAAAATTTGGATTTTTCGATCAATTTTCCAACGAAGTTTGACTTTTTTGTTAAATTTTTCAATGGGGTTTGAATTTTTGGATAAAGTTTCTAACAGCCTTTAAAGATTCCAGCCAGCATTCAAACTTTTTTAGAGAGAAGTCAGAGAGAATTAGCTAGAAATTAAAAAGGGAAGGAGAAAATTGGAAAAAAAATGAAATAAAGCTTTAAATACCTCCTTGAAACAATGTTGTTCAAGTTTAAAAGATTTTAAAGACTTGCGGCCTCGACCTAGCTAGACCTGCACATTGATCCGAGATAAATCCGACACATTTTGCATAATTTATTGTTTCTATTTTGCTTTATGTCCTATTCTAATTTTTTTATTTTGATTATTTATTTATTTTGATTAAGTTATTATTTGTTGTAATGTTTAAAGTTTTGTTTATATTTGTTTATTTAATTTGTAAAATAATTAAGAATAAAAAAATTTTGCCCAATTATGAAATTCTAAGAAAGTTACAAATATGTAACTTTCTATGTAACTTGCTTAGAAATTTTTAGGTGAAAAAACTTTTTCTAAATTCAATTAAGGTGTTAAAGGATTTAGAAATTGGTCTTAATGTAAAAATTATTTATTTCTAATTTGAAAAAAAAATTGAGAATAAATTATGGTAATTTAATTTTCTTACATGAATAATTAAATTATGATTATATGTGTTAAACCATGTATTTAAACTTGTATTTGATTATTATTATTATGAATTTGTATTATTTAAATTATTATGTATTAATAATTAATTCTATTTCATAAAATATTTAATAAATTCAATGAAGAAGTCTCTTTAAGGAAACAAGCATATTACTTGAATACTCTTGAGGTGAGGAAATATTTTTAGATAATCGACTATGGTGTTGTAGAAAACTTTAAAATATTTTCAATATTTAAGCATCAATATTAATAATTAATTAATTAATTAATAAGAATAATAAAATTATAAGTTAGGAACAAAAAGTTATTTTAATAAAGACTTAGAAAAGGTAATTTAAGCTCAATTGGTATCATTTTAAGATGTCCATTGTGGGGGTGATATAGTCTTCCCTATATATAATCAAATTCCTAAATTCAGTTTTGTTTAGAAAACTAGAACCTATATTTTTTTAAAGATGTTTAGTCAAGTTTAAGATTTCTTTAAAAATGATAGATTCACTTAGATGATCAATCACACATAGTTAACTAAACAAAAATAGGATGGCCCTAGTACAGGTTTTAACTGAAGTTTTATAAAAATGCAAGGCAAAAAGCAACTTCTCATGCCAATCTTTGTAAGTATCAGTCATTTGTTTAGATTCTCTTGATATTTTTATTTATAGCTTCTGCTGCCCCATTCATCTCAGACAATATGGTGTCAAATTATGATAATGGATCTTTAACTGAGTGCACACTTTTTCATCATTTTATTGTTCAATTTTTTAGCATTATCAAAAATAATTCTTTTTAGAAGCTTATATCTACATATTATCTTTTTCTTTATGAACTTGCATACCATCGATCGGGTCATACTAGCATATAATGTAGCTTTTATCTATTTTGTGAAATAATCAATTATCATAAAGATGAATCTATGTCCATTTGAAGCTTTCTAGGTGATGGGACTGATAACATTCATACCTCACATAGAGAATGGCTATAAAGGTGGTAAAACATGTAAAGTTAATAAAGGAACATGAATCTTATCAACATAAATCTAATATTTATGACATTTTCTAGCATAATCAAACAGTCATCCTTCATTGTCAACCAATAATAGCCAACCCTCATAATTTGTCTAGTCATCATATGACCACTCACATATGCCCCACAAACCTCATCATGTGTTTCTTCAAAAATCCTTTTTGCTTCAGCTACATCTATACATCTTAAAAGCACCTAATCTTGACTTTTTTTATAAAAGATATCACCATCAAGGAAGAAAATCATAGCCAGCTTTTTGATGATCATTTTATCATTTTTCATTGCATACTTTAGGTATTGTTGACTTTTGATGTATTGAAGAGTATCATGATGCCATGGTTTTCCATCAATTTCTTCTTCAATTTCTAAGCAATGTATTGGTACATCTTTTGCCTTCAACATTATGGGTTGAATCTCGGTATTTGTATCTATTTTGATCATTGCAACAAAAGTAGCCAGTGCATCAGCAATCCAATTCTCTTCTCTAGGTAGATGCTTAAACTAAATTTCTTCAATTTGTTTGTTCAGCTTAGAAATGTACTCATGATACTGAATTTAACTTTAGGTCTCCTGTTTCCTATTACAGATTTATATATTATAATAGTATGTATACCTAACACCTATCTAGCTAACTAGATTGTTTGGCTAGCATCATCATCCCCTCCCCCACCCTTTCTCGTTCCTTGCTCTATCTTCTTCCTCTCTTTCTTCTTCCTCTTTATTCAATTTTTTATTTTTTAAAATTCTTTTTTCATATTTTATTTTTCTAAATATTTTTAGATTTTAGATTTTTTTTAAAAATCCAGATTTCGAAAAGTTGAATTTTAATTTTTTTAAAAAAATCATAAAGTTTTTAATTTCTTTTTTATTTTGAATTTTTAGATTTTTCAAAAAAGTTTTTTTAATTTTTTAATATTTTAATTTTCTTGACATGCGATAGCCATGTTAGTGCCAGGTGGTACTTGCATGTCATCCACATGTGCACAATTTGAATATGTGTCAAATTTTTATTAGTTGATTGTCACATTATGAATATTTGTTAATTATGTAAAGTTTGGAGTAAATTCATGATACACAGAATTGGACGTTGTGATATCTAAATAGATTTTTTTTTTAATTTAAATACCATGTAAACATTTCTAATAGTTAAGAGGCTATACAATATCTCTTTGATTTTTTTGTTTGATTCTTTATTATAAGAAAAGGAGTAATAAATTTAAATAAAAGCAAAGAAGAGCAAACAATCTTAATATGCAATTATTAAAAATAAATAAATTTAAATAAAAATACTCTATAATATCTAAGCCTCTCCATGATCAATTTGAAATTTACTCTCTCTTTTTATTACCACTTAAACATATGATATTTTATCAATCAAAATTGGAAATACAAAAAAAAAAAAAAAAAGTGAGAATGACCATGCATTTATCAAGTCGCACCTCTTTAGTTTGGCCAAAAAAAAATAGTAAGCCTTACAAGTTGGAACTATAGAAGTGTAAGAAGAAGAATATTTTATACGTCGCCTTCGCAATTAGCTTTCACATGAATAAGAAGTTAATTATTCGGTGATAATAATTCCATTGTAATATAATAATTGATTATATGAATATAATATTTTATTATGGTTGTAATTTTAGAAAAAAATTATGTGTACCAATTACATATTTTTATTGTAAAATCTAGGATCCTTTTCATTGATATTTTTGTTTTTTATTTTGTTTGGTTAAAAGTAAAAAAAAAAATCAAATGAAACCTAATTAGTTTGCAACAAGGTATTAAAAAATATAAAATCACTTACATTGTCAAAAAAAAAAAACAAAAATTTTTTGGTTTCTAAAATTTACTGAAGGTTTATTTCCAAAATGAACATTTGAAATCAGTGAAAGAAAACTTATACATATATCTTCCCTGCTATACCTAACCGAAATGGAAATATATATACACAGAGTAACAGTGTAACATCTTAACAGAAATGAAGTTCATTAAAAGCGCAGTAATATTGAATTTATCTGTATTTTTCTTTAGACTGAAAAGGATTTTTCTTGCTTGATGGCTACACCTATGAAAAATGTTACTATAACCTTCGGATAGTGCTTAAAAAGTATATATGGTTTTCTTAAGCCGATTTGATTGCACTTCACATCGATTACTATATCTAAAATGAAGTTATATATGCATACATATATATATATATATATATATATATATATTAATAAGGCTCAGGTTCCTTTGAAATCCGAACGCAGGTTACAAATAACTGTCTGCACTTCCTGTCAAGACAATGGATCAAGTTAAGTCCCAGGTGTTGATGGAATGCCCATTTTCTGCCCATGCATCCATCAACTGGAGGAGAATGCTTGAGGCGTGTGACTCTGCGAGAGAGTGAGAAAGAGAGAATTGATGGCAACCACATGAGAATCGAAAGCAACCTCGAAAGGAGGGGACCGCAACATTGACAGTTCTGCAGGTAAATTTTAACAGAATAATTGAAATATGTAGGGAGAGAACAAACCAACAAAACAGTCTTACTCTAGATTTCAGACAGACGTGGTAGGACCATGAGGAATCCTTGAATTTGACAAATAGCCAATGAGAATTCAGGGATTAGGATGAACTTGAAAATTTCAGCCAATGAACACTGAGATAAGCCCCAACTTCTGGGTCCCAAAAAGTGCATGGGCTCCCACTGCAGCAGAAAAACCGAAAGTGCTATAGGGTGGGTCACATTTAAAAACGTACCTCTCAACCCTAATTATTGAACCATGGGCTCCTCAAAATAAATAGATGCCAGGTACCCTAATATTCCTTTGTAAAGACACTTTGCTTTTCAGCTTGTTTCTTTTGTTGAGCAGAGCTAATTCCTAACTATACCTAAGCCCGTTTGAATCTTGTAAAGGCTAAATTATTGTTTTTTTCTGTCTATCCAATGATCTCTGACAAGAGAGCAGCGAATGCCATGGGAGGCAAGACGGCTAGAGCCTGTGATGGTTGTATGCGAAAGCGTGCTCGTTGGTATTGTGCAGCTGATGATGCCTTTCTTTGCCACGGTTGTGATACATCAGTCCACTCCGCTAATCAGTTAGCCAGCAGACATGAAAGGGTTAGGCTTGAAATTGCATCTTCTACGTTCAATGATTCGGTGATGAACGGTACTACTAATCAAGATGCTCCACCAGCATGGCACCAAGGTTTCACTCGAAAGGCAAGAACACCAAGGCATAGCAAGTCCATGTCCAGGCAACAAAAAGGTGAGGGAAAAGTATTGAATTTGAATCAGCTTGATCCTCTTGTTCCTGAGATTGGTAGTGAAGACGGGTCAGTTGATGAGAACGAAGAGCAGCTGTTTTGCAGAGTCCCTGTATTCGATCCTTTTTCTGCAGAATTAGGTAATATGGTAACAAGTGATGGTGATGAAGTTCCTATGGTAAATGAAGATGGGAATTTGGTATTTGATTATTATGGACATGAAGAAACATGCGAGCAGAATGATGATTTTCATGGCTTCTTGCCATCAGATTTGGATCTTGCCGAGTTTGCTGCTGATGTTGAGAGCTTACTAGGAGTTGGACCTGATGAGGACACTTGTGACAACAAAAGAATTGAATTGTTAGATTGCAAAGAGGAAGAAGAAAGTAACGTTTTTCATGGAGGCAAAATAATGAAAGTTAAAGATGAAGAAGGAGAAGAAGAAAAAAAGGAAGGTAAAACAGCTTGTTGCTGTGATTCTGCATTTGATGTGGCAAGAGCATCCTTAAACTGGAGTTTTGATTATGAGTCACCCACGATTGATAAGGAGGAAGAGAAGGTGGTTCCAACAATAATGGATGGTCAAAGGAAGACAGAGATGAAGAGGAACATGCTGCTGAGGCTGAATTATGAGTCAGTCATCACCGCTTGGGCCAGCCAAGGCTCTCCTTGGACATCAGGAAGCCGACCAGAATTCAACCCTGATTATTTCATGGTACTATATACATCCCTCTCCTCCTTTTCTTCATAAATAAAAATATATATAGATACATACATATATATATATATATATATATCCTTTCTTTAACTTCTTACAGCATATATATAGTTGCAGTAGAACAGTTAAATTTCAAACTGATCCTTTGCCAATTCTACTCATAATGTAAACTTTCAATCCTAGTAGTAGTTGATTATATACAACAAAGTGCTTTTAATTGATATGCCTAATACATAATTTGTCAATCCGTGGTACTCCAGGGCTCAAATCCGAAAGAGGGTCATCACCTGAATGGAGGAATAGGGGGAATATACAGGCAGGCAAGAGGGAATACAGACGAAGAAAGGGAAGCAAGGGTATCAAGATATAGAGAGAAGCGAAGAACGAGACTGTTTTCGAAGAAGATAAGGTATGAAGTGAGGAAGCTGAATGCGGAGAAAAGGCCTAGAATGAAAGGCAGGTTCGTTAAGAGAACGTCCTTTGGGGGGACTGCTTTTCCTTATGTCAATTAAGTAATAGCAACTCTTCAACTGCCAATTCTTGTTGTTTGTTTCTTTGCAAGAATTGGCAGGCGAGTTGCTTAACCAGTACCTAGACTGTATTGGTTAAGCTTTTAAATGAATAAATGGATTAGGGTAGTTGTAATTGAACTATACCGTTAGACCTTTCTGTAACAGTTGTACTAATATCTTCCTAACGTCGAAGCTCAAGCTACCATGTCAATTAACCGAATCCGCTGTAAATTAATTAAAGTTAATTTCTGGTTTCTTTACCATCTTCTGCTTTGGATAAATGAAGGGTTTTGTTTCATTTTTCCATTTTAATTACAAGCATGCAGCTTTATTCTTTTTAAACATGGCTATTAATTTCACAAATTAATCTACTTTGTACAGTTTGTTGACTTGATTCAATTTATATATGTACCAGAGGAAGACGAAGAAGAACTTCTGCTATTGCCTATTTGTATAAAATCGGTGACCAATTGATTCTGAATAGCCTCAATTTGAATTAGTTTGGTTCAACTTTAAACTGGAATTCAACAATTAAATTAATATGTTTAGACTTTGTATTTCAATTCTTTGTTTAACACATGTACACAGTAGAAGATCAACGAGGAAAGTCTATTAGTTTGTAAAAGAATTCTCATATTTTGGCAGTCCATGCATATTTCTAAACCATGAGTATTGTTGCATATAAGATTTAGTTGGTTCAAGTTCAACACTCTAATATTATTTTAATCACTCACTTGTATATGAAATAGACTTTTCAATTGCATAGTCATTATATCACAAGTCGAGATTTAAGCTCCAGACTCGCACAACTTTAGGATACGAGGATGGCCTCCTTCGTGTTCCAAATCAATCTAATTATCACCATTCACACTAACTTGTGAAATATAGTTTTGTCCCACAAAAGGGATCTCATATGAAGAAAATGTTGTGAACTTATATCTTCATGATCAACTCTAACGGTTCACACTAACTTGTAAGGTATTATCTACTTCAACCCCCTTGACCTCACGATTTTGTCTCACAAAAGAGATTTCATAAAGAGAAAATGGTGTGAACCCTATATCTCATGACTAACTCTAATACACAAACGATGTGAGATTCATGGCTTCTCCTTAAAACCGTGACATCCTCTCTCACTCCAATGAAGGCCCACCGTCTTCAGAGACACATTGCAAGTATCCCTAAAGCTGGTTCTGATATCACTTGTCATAGGTCGAGACTCAAACTCCAAGCTCGTATGATTCCAAGATACGGGGATGACTTTTTCCTTGTTCCAAATCAGTTTAACTGTCATGGTCCACACAACTTATGAGGTATTATTCACTTTGGCCTCTTGACTTTACGATTTTATCTTACAAAAGGCATCACAAAAAAAAGGTAGTGTGAACCCTTATATCCCATGATCAACTCTAATATACAGCCGATATGAGATTCATGACTCCTCCTTAAGACTGTGACAACTGAACCATCCTTGCTTGCCAATTTCATGTGCTAGGGCTCGAAATTTTTTTTCAACCATAGAATTTTTATTAATATTGGATGTGTAGCCTGCCCAATATAATCAAGCAAAACAATCTATTATGTTCTTATATCAAGAAATTAATCCAATACAAATAAAGTGCTCATAAATTTCTAGCCAAAACAAAAAAGAAACCGCACATAATAAATAAATATTGAAAAATAATCTTTACCAATGTTTCATTCCTATAAATCTATAATTTAATTCAGTTGGGGTATATAATTGCAGTTACAGTTAGTATATCTAACATCCCAACATTTATAACTTTTTCTCTTATTTTCAAACATCAATCTCTTTTATTTAAAAAGAAAAAAAAAGTCAATAAATATGATCACTATCTTTAACTTGTTTATCAATTATAACACTAATTTATATACATGAAGATCCATTTTATAGTATATATGAATAAATAATATAAGAATTTTATAGTGATAGCAAAACATTGCACATGCATTTGGTTGGATTGTTTATATGTTCATGTGTCTAAGGTTCAAACAGATGAATCCAAGTTTTATCTTTCTTCCAAATAATAATAATAATAACTTTCCACTAGCAAGTAAACCCTCCGTTAACAAGCTTGGTGGCCCAAAAACTTTTTTGGGTCCGAAAGCTTAAAATTACAAGTCAATTTTCAGAGAACGACATTATACAGTATTCATATACATATATATTTACAAATACTTATAAATACATCTACTTACATACATTGGTCCAATTAATTTTGGCAGTTATATATAATAATATATATAATATTAATCATTTATGGTCTGGAGAAGTTTCAACTACTTGTGGAAATAAAATGTCGACTTGTCATCCTCAACATTTGTCCCTTAGATTTTTTGTTGGCATTTTATACTTTGATTTTATCTTTTGTTATATTTTTCCAAAAAAATAAAAAAATAAAAGGTGCATTGCCCTCTTTTTCTTTCTTTCGGCCACTTTTTGGGGCAGGCAGTTAGTTGCTGGGTCAGACCTTAGCCAACAAGCTGTGGTTGGACCAAAGGGTTCAATATTTTTGCCCAACCTTAGTTGGCTGGCACCATAGCTCTCATAGTGAATACGTGCCAAGAAAATGTAAGGCAGATTTCCTAGCCTCTTTATTATATTTTTCATTTTGATTAAAAAAATCCTGCTTTAATGAAGAACTTGTTGAAGTGCGTTAATAGCCATGAAACTGAAAAAAAAAAAATCCTGAATATATAGCCTATGCACTGTTAGCATAATTATGGGCAATTGTTCTGTGCATTGTCCCCCCAGGAAACCATCCAAAATGTTGGAATTTAATTTTTTTTCCCTAATTTTCAAAGATACATCGTTTATTTAAGTTAAATTATTTGTGAAGCTGATTTCATTTGTGTGTGTCATCAATGTTGTTAAGAACAACATGAGTGAAAAACCATACATTTGATTTAACAGAATGGATGTGTTAGCAAAAATGTTTTTTCATTGGCCTGCTCGGACCTCAAAGAAATAGTTGCCATAATAACGCAAATAAATACTACACGCCAATGTTGAAATACTATTCCATAGACGTTGAAACGTTAATTTCTTCGTGTGGCTAGAATAGGTTAGGACTATATATATATATATCATAATAACCAAAGCCTACGATCCAAAATACACCTAAACTTACAAGACCCTGCAGTTTAGGAGCAACTCCTTAAGTTCAACCAGATGCGTTGTGTGGGAGCAACTCCTTCCACACACTTTGCCCACCCATTGGACTGAAGGAGCTCCTGGTTTCATCACATGCATATATACCAGTTTAGGAGGAAATCTCATTATCGATTTTCTCAAACTTGTTTTGATTGTCTTCTAACTCATCTGCCCTTTTTGATATACTTTCCTTACTTCTTATTGTTAACTCTTTTTCAGGCTTTTATCCAGCTTCGCACTGACCAAAATGGAGATCGACTACTTCGTAGCTTGACACGATGCAGCTTAGTGCAGTACACTTGACTGAGAGAGATTGCCTTGACATCCAAGAAAAGAAAAGGCCTCAAAATTTAAGAGTCTCCACTCTCGCCCATCATCTTCTGTTGTAATCGCATCTTATTCTCAGTGCCAGACTCAATCAACCTGCACTCGCCAAAACTTGTAGATGCTGCTAACTCACCATAACAATGCATAATCATGGAGGATTAAGCAGACGTGAACAGCACAGAAATTACTTTGGTAGCCTTTATGAACTCTAGCCTCTGTTCTGTTGTTGTCTGTCCTTTTTGCTGTAAAACTCCGGTTCTGTGAACAAAAACCTGATAGTTCCAATTTACACACAACTCGCTACCCTTTTTAAGCAAGGCATTGCAAAACCCACTGCTCAGGTCCTGAATGCATGCTAACCCAGTCGCCAGCTTCCAGATGCTTTCATCGTATGCACAAAGATAGCTCCATAAACCCAAAACATAAAGCCAAATCATATCTCTGAACGTGGTAAAACTAAATGTTGGACAAGTAAAATGAACAAGAACAGAGCATCTACAACATTCAAAGCCATTATATGGCATGAATTAAGGCTGCATCTGATCTAATTTAGGAGTATGAACAACAGTTGAGAATCTTAGTCACCTTCCTAAATTAAACCCAAAACAGCAGAAAAAGACATATCGAGTTTGAATTCCATCTCCATCACACAGCAATCAAAGTGGGCATGAAAACTACAAATCCTTTATCAACAAGGTAATATATATCAAGCAGGAAATCACAATAAACTTATTTATATCTGATGTACTGTTACAGATAGACTAACCCAAATAATAGAAATATTTTAGGATGCTAACAAGAAAGGACAAAGGAAAAAAAAAAGACTTAACATAATGGAGAAAAGAAAATTAAAAAGAGATCATATCTGGTTTGTTACAAGAGTCTTACAACACAGACAACATTAACAACAAAGCAAACAATTATTCAAATCCCTCACTTGATGTCTTACTTTGCTGGCCATATTTAGTCACCTGCAACAGCGAAGCATAATATTAATTCTATTTATGCAAGTTATTCAAGTTCAACACAAAATTTTACACCTTCAGCCAAGACACAGAAAAGTCATATACACATCCACAGATATTGATTGAATAACTTTGAAGACATTCTTTAGATCAGAAATGCACAACCCAGTGGTCATACCACATAAAATAGAAACAGAAGACTAAACAGACCATGATATATTCAGAAAAGTAAAAGGAGAGAATAAAGTCTCATTCATGATGATACCAAAGGTACCAAAATGCAATGATACCACCACCACAAGAAGCTAAAATGAAATAATTTTCTTTCTTTATTTATTACTTGTTTTCATTTGCTCTGAAAATCTAAATTTCAAGTCACATCTTAGGGTATCCTATTAGAGCAGAACATTCATATAAACTCTTACCATAAGCTTATTGATACAAACCTCCTTACCACACGTATTTAGATATCCCACCCCATCATTGTTTTTATCACATTATAAAACTTCAAGGTATCAACAAGATTCAATTAAAAAATGATAAACAAATCATGAAGCGAATGGATTAGTTTAGATACAACATCATGATAACTGTGATGATCTAGCAGTGACCACTATGCAAAACAAGTTCCATGTATTCTCACTTAGATAGAATCTCTCTCAACCACATTTTCAAGGTATACAGCAAATCAATGATTGTCCTCCAAATGCAATCAATTGATGATATGATCAACTACTTACGAAATCAAGTAACAATTTCTCATTGGAATCACCTTGTTATCAGTATCTTCATTAAAAGGCTATCAAAATATCTTTGAATGCATTTACTGAACTGCATTCACCAACCTACACGGGCTAAACTGGCCCATTTCTGTACAAAGTTTCTACTTAAAAAAAAATTCTTGCAATTGAAGTTGGAAACACTTGTTTAGTTTTCTATTAACCAAAAAGATGGGGAAATCAAATCATGACCCCAAAAGAAATCTCCACAAATTTGAGATGGGGGTGAAAGGGAACAATAGATATAATTGTATCAATCAGATATATTCGCCAAGTTTGCACCCTAAGAATGGTTTTAACTGTTAACATAAATCGATGAGCCTTATGAAGGATAAAAAGGAGCTCCAACTCTATATCAATCATCATTATCAAGGATAAACAGGGGTAGAATGCAACAAAAAAGTGTTCTATTTGCCCAAAACTAAAGTTCACAAGAAAATCTCAAGCTCAGCTCGGTGGTCATTTTTTTCTAATTGTTTTTTGCTTCCAAAAACAAAATGCAGAAAATGCATTTGGATACAAAAGCAAACAATAATTTAAAAAATTATAAATCATGTTTTTCAAATATAACAAAAGACATGATATACTTTAAAATAAAACAATCATGTCTGGAAAAGTTTTACATCTATCTATTTGCTAACCTTGAATCAAATATTATTTTAATTTTTACTATTAGTCCTTCTTTTACAGCAACTTTTGAGTGAACAACAAAGTAGGCTCCTTTGATTGACACTTTTGCTTCTTTCATTTTGCTTTTTGAAGAATTGCGATAAAGCAAAAGCAAAAGGTAAAAAGCAATAGTATAATTAATTTTAAATTCAAGAATAATTAAAATGTAACACCAATTATAAGTGTCTATGCAGAGGTGGAATCACAATATTGTCCTCTAAAAGAATTATATATTTAGTGTATAATCCTTCAAATTTCTGATTTGCTTATGCATCCAAACGAGCTTTTTGCTTTTTTGCTTTCAGAAACTAAAACCAAATAGCAGAAATGACAAACAAATCGAGCCTAATAAATAACAAAATGCAAGTAGTAAAAGTAAAAATCAACAACCTAGGTATCTTAAGTTAATTTCTTTCGCAGCATTGGTATTAAGGATTTTGAAGGACATATTTAAAGAGAATATTTAAAATGAAACTGGAAAATACCCAAGTGTTGGTGATAATCATCAAGCTTCTATCAGTTAGAACGAGAACAGAGGCACAAAATAAACGTAGATGCTTCGAATTTTAAAATGTAAAGGATGAAACCGTGCATTCAGCAACATAAATGAAAGGTAATATTTTTTTTCTGTTTGCCCTCTTAGTCCTTCTTTAGCTTATGTTTCAAGAATCTTATTTAATCATTATTGAGGAATAGAAATTGTCCAGAAGCAGGCACTCAAAAGGAAAGAAAATTAATCTAAAAGCAAAGTTATACAGAGTTTAGGAAGACATACAACCAAACTGCGAAAGATAATTGTCTAGTACTTATCCTTTCTTTGACATAAAAGGAGAACTTAGACTTCCAAACTATAGGCAGGGTAGCTCCAGCCCAAACATATTTAACAGAGACTATTGCTTCATTTTAAATTAATGCCTACTAAAAAAACAATCCAAATAAAAATTGCTAAAACTTTGAAACTAATTAAACATTTTCCCCTTATCAAATCTCCTTCATCACAAGTACATTGTAACACAAAAACTATCAATATCAATTTAATTTAATTATCAATTACAATTTAATTTTCATTATCACTATCAAATAAAATTAGGTCAAGCACTACAAAATGTAATTTTTCCATTCCCAGCCCATATCTTCATCGAATGATTGGAAAATGAAAGATTCTTTAACTACTTTGAAAATATGATTCCAGCTTTATCTGTATTTTTGCTATTATTTCAACTCAACAATTTCTCAAAATTAGCATCCACAAGTCAAATTTGCATATGACACCTAATCCACCTTCCTGCACACATGCACGCGCACACACATATATAGTTATTTATTCTTCTAATGTATCCTCTTTGAATTATTAGAACCTGTCTTCACATTATCATAATTCAGTTGAACAACAACAAAACAAGAAATAATTCTGTTGATCCAATAACTGTAAAATGGATTGTTCAGTAGATAACATAAAGAAAGAATTAAGGTCTTAGACTACCTTTCGTAACCGTTTGCAGCCACTCATTCTGACTCAACCTCCTCAACCTTCGGACCTAAAATCCCAAATCATTAACAAAATTAATACAGTTCAGTCATTCCTTCCCCAAAGAACAATGTTGACTAATCCACAAATAAATAAACAAAAAACAGCTCAATGCTCATTTTTTTCGTTACTTTTACTACTTGCTTTGTTTTTCACTTCCTCAAAAGTTGTTAACAAGTAAAATGTAGTAAACAAAACAAATTTAGATTCAATCAAAAACTAACAAAATAGACAAATTTAGACATAAAAGCAAAACCATACATTGTCTTAGGCGAAAATATTAATTTTTTTTAAAAATTTTCAGGAAGAAAAACGCAAATAATAAAATTAACAACCAGCCATGCTTAAAATAAATAAAATAAAAGTTTTATATATATTAAAAAGGAAAAGATAGGAACCGTGAAGGGAGGGGTGGCGGCCATCCTTGCCCCAACCGATGCCGCGGGTGGCATCGAGGTACTGACGAACGAGGTGGCGGCACTTCTGGAGATGGTTGACTCCTTCGATACGGTAACACCACTTGACCTTGTCTCGGAGGATCTTCGCCTTCTCTATGTCGATCCATTTCTCTCGAACTATATGCTCCCTCATTTCCAGCATCGCCACCGGGTCCTTGTAGGGATTGGCAGGGTCGAAGTCATCCGGCGCCGTTTCTTCGAACTCTGGCACTCGCTTCTTCCTCCCCATCTCTCTCTCTCTCTGCTCTTCTTTGCTCTGCAGTTGGTTTTAGTATTTTGGCGATTTAGGGTGTTCGAAATTGTGTTTTTGTGGTGGGCTTTCACGTAAATTTGATTTATGGACTACTTTTGTAGTTTTTCGGCCCAGTTGATTTTCGTTTACTTGGGCTTGAAAGTTGAAAATGAAATCTCTCTTGCAATCATCAATCTTCTCTTACTCTTAACTGGCGGTCAAGAAAATCTTAAGCTTTATAGAAAAATTGTTTAGGTCCTTTTTCTCACAAATTTCTTCACAATCGGCGAAGTCCTCAAACCGGTTATAACCTAATCTTCTTTCTTTCCTTTTTAAAAAGTCCAAACTCTCTGTATTTGGTTCGCTGTGATTTTATGTTGTTTACGAAAAAAAAATTTTGTTATTTTTCTTTTTTTTTCAAACAAAGTAAGAATTTTTATTTTATTTAGAAAACATTTTGTATTGTTAATAAAAAGAGAGATATGGCGCTCTAAATTTAGCATTAAAATATTTTTGTGATAAAATTTATTATGATTCACGAAATGAAGGTTGAGTTGAAAAATACGGAGCTGCTATTTCTTAAAAAAAAAAAAAAAACGGGGCTCATTATACGGTTACGGTCCTTTAACCTTTTAAAAGCTTCCATGTATATATTGTTTGAGATAAAGTAAGTATGGACTTCCCCTATTTTCAACAATTATTAAAAAAATAAAAAATAAATAAAACTAGGTTTCAAATTTCAATCTTTTTACACGAAATTAGCTTTCATCTTTCATCTTTCATCAAACAAAAACATGAAATTAACTTAGAACAATAGGTAACTGGTTTCAGATTTTAAGAAAAAAAAAATTGACGTGTTCCATTAAATTCTAAAGTATTGAAAAGCAATTATCATAATTGACTATAGCTAGCATTCTTCAAACTCTTAATTGTCTGAACCAGAACTTTTTTTCTTTTCAGAGAACTGAGACTTAGTTCATGCAGCAACTGTAATATTAGTAAATTTGAAATTCAGATGTCAATATTTATAATTTTTTATTTTTTATATTATGGCCTCTTTAGTTAAAAAAATGTTTTGATCTCCTACAATTTGTCAATTTATAAACTTTTTTTTGAGTTTTTTATGATTTTTATTTAAATTTAAAGTACGATTTATGATAACTAAATGTATAATCTCTTTAAAAATAGAGTTCAAATTCTCATCTTTCAAAGAAAAAAACAAAAATTATGAGCACCAAATAATATTAAACATCTTCTTAAAGGCAAATGGATGTTTGATTAATAAAGAATTGTTATGAAGTTTTAGAAAGACAAAGAACGAAAACAAAGGGAGCAGAGAGAAATAGAGTGAAAGAACTTGAGCTCTTTGTACACCAGATTTTGCCAAACAATCAGCGATAGCATTTTGCTCTTTTGGAATTTGAGTGACGTATATAGGCAAATTTTATCGTTTCTTGAAGTTGTTGCATGTGATTAGAAAAATTCCTCAAGCGCCAAGGAACTTTTGGAGACATCTTTGATCCAATTTGAGTGAAACCAGATGCAGCAAAGAAGAGAAAAGCTTCTAGATTTCTGCAAGATTGGAGTCTGTAATGCCAATTCCTGCAGGTCCTGGCTTTCCAAAGGCTGAACCATCTACATTCAATTTCATAAAATTAACCACAAGGAGGGCGCGCTAGACCATAACCATGATTTGCAAGAAACATATATATTTCAATTGAGATTCTGAGATATTGGAGATGTTACTGAGCAAGTCCACAACAGTTTAAGAGGTTGACGGCTAAATAATATAAATTAATGTTACGAGAAGTTCAATTCTTTTTTTTTTTTTTTGTGTGTAAGAGAATATTATACATGCATAATTATTTTTGGATTAATTTACATATTATTAGAGTTAATATTTAAAAATTACGAATTTCAAAAATTTATATATATATATATATAATATTTTTCAATTAAATAAATATTAAGAGAAGAGAATTCAAAGATAGATTAAAAATTTAAAAAATATATTATACCTTTAAATTTTTAAAACCTTAATTTTAAAAAATCTAAGCTAACTTACTTGTTTTTTGAACTAATATTCAATTAAAAATCTAACTGAATTTTTTGAATAACAATACATACATGATTTTTTGAATAGTAAATACATACATATTTAAGAAAAATTATTTGATACATTGTCTATGAAATTTTTTTTTAATTCCATAAATAGAGTTAAAAATTAATACATGCTTTACTTTTTTAATTAATTTTATTATTTTTTAATATATCTTAAGAAATACACATCACTCATAATATTGCTTGTAGAATTTAAAAGTTTTATTATTAGTATATTTGATAATTTTTTTACATTTAAACTCAATTTTCTTTTACATTAAAGAAAATACATATACATAAATCTCTTATGTGAATAATACTATATAATTATATTTAAACAGTTAATAAATACATACAATGACCTATTTTTTAAAATTATAATTATAATCAAATATTATATTTATATAATCAATTAATAATTAATTATTATATCATAATCAAATTATAATCACTGAAAAATCTACTAACGAATTAAAATATAATTAAATAATTATAACTCATATAAATTAAAATTTAAACTTAAGACCTTAGAATTTTAAGACATTTCACTAATCTCAATGGAAATGGAAACTTGTGTAATAATAATCTCAATCTTTTATTAGTAATTATCTTCTATGGCAATTTCCAAATCCATCCTTTAGGAGACATAATAAACCAATTTTACCAGAAAATGAAATCAGTATTTTCCTTTGAAAAAGAGAAAGAACATAAAAAAAAAAAAAATTGTAGACCAACTTTTATAACCTTTATTTGACATACCGTTCTTCGACACTTTCAAAAGTTATCTACCAATATATATATATATATATATATATATATAATATACATATATACATATTAGTATATACAATATATATATATATATATATATATACATATATATATGTATATATATACATATATATATATATGTACATATATATAACGGGACTGACATCAAAACCTCTCTTAATCATATGTTTTTCACATCTAAGCTAATGCCAAAAGCCTCAAACTCAGTCTTTGGCTACAAAACCTAACACAAACCCTGACCAACCTTCACTTGGGCTCCACAGGTGGCATCATCAGAGCCGTTGATATTGTTCCCTTTTTCTTTGGCCTCGGTTCGAACCCTAGAGTCAGCTCCAACTCCAAATCACTCACCTCGCATAACTCATTTGCCTTAGGCTGCATTTGGATTGAAACGGAGCTGCGTTTATCATGAAAACCTGTGTCAACTGCACTGCACAGTGCAAAAAAATACATTCGGTTTACATGAATGGTGAGGTAGAAATGCAAGTTTATCGTGCCGCAGCTCTAAAATCCAACCGGCGCTTCAAGCTCCGGTGAAAAAAAACTCACCACCAGTGAACCTTATCTTTCCCTAAAAACCCTTGTTGTCTTTTTTTTTAATTTATTTTAATGTAGCAATGAAAATGTGTTTAGTCTATTTTTGTCCATTTTTTATTTTGATTTTTTTATTTAAAAGTTTTTTTCATTTCTTTTCATTTTATTTATTTTTAAATTTTATTTTGAATAAAAATAATTAATATTTTAATGTAAATAATTATTATCAATTTTTTAAAAAATCACTTTTATATATTGTTATCAATTTTATTAATTTTTAAATATTTATTAATAAAATTATTATTTGAAATAAAATTAATTTTAGTAATTTTAATTATTTATTAATTTTATAAATATAAAATTATTTAAATTTTTTATTTTATATAAATTTTCATATAATATCTTTAATGATAACATTTTATTTTTATTATTTTTTACCTCATCATCAATATTATAATTATATTCAAACACATATTTTATCATTAATTTTATTTTTATTATTATAATATTTAATTTTATTATTATAATAATTAATCTTATCATCATCATTATTTTTAATTTTATCAAAATTAATTTTACCCTCCATTCAAATTTACCCTTAGCCAACGAAGCGTCCATCGTCTCCACCAACAGGACGTCACCTTCCCCACTATCCACTCCCAAACTCAGTCAGCGAATACATGCCGACCCACGACTCGCCGACTCATAAGCCTCTTTCTCCACTTTAGGCTTCAGTTTTGAAGCCGACCGCTTAAACTGTCCTCGAGGCCTAACTTTCTGAAGCCCATCATTGGTGTTCTTGTCTTTTGACACGTGTCGAACGTCACATGCGTATTTAGCAGGTGGGCAGTTCGAAGTCGATAATTTAGAGGAAACTTGATTAATCAAAACACCACTTAAAAACTGTGCCAATGGCTGTCTGACATAGATGCCATTTTTCGGAGTACATCAATTCGATCGAACTATGAATCGGGTCCACAATATGGCAACATGCTTCGTAAAGCAATGATTTAAAAATTCCTTAAAAAAATACAGAAGATATTACATAAGTTTAGATCTTTAGTAATATTTCTTTTTAAAGTTTATAAAATATTTATAATATTTATCAAAAATATCATTAAGAGTATAAATTATACCCACGTTAAAAAAATAACGATATTTTATACGAAATACGATTAATTTAATAACATTTGTAATCACAATCGTCATTAAGTTAGTGACGTTTATATAAAAAAATATTATTAATTTAAAGGTATTTGTATCATAAAATATTACTTTATTTAATGACATTTACAAAGGCAATCATTGTTGTATTTGTATAAAAAATATCGTTAATTTAACGATATTTATATAAAAAAATATCGCTAATTTAACGATATTTATATAAGAAAATATCCCTAAATTTAGTGGTGTTTATATTATAAACGTCGCTAAATTTCAAATTTAACAATTTTTTTAACATAAAATGCCATGAAATTAAAAAATTTACTTTTTTTTTAAATTTTTTTTATATTTATTATTATCATTAAATAAAAATATTAAAAGAAATAAAAACGAACTTAAATTCATAAACTGAATATTATAAATACATAATTTGTTCAAATATGTATGTAACACAAAGTTTAAT